TAGAGAACACTTGGTTGTTTATAGATACGTAGAGATACGGCAGAGGGCAGGAAACAATTGTTCTTACTTGAGTAAGATCAGAAGTAATAGCATTGAGCAATTGCTGGGGTAGTAATGACCAAATGAGGAACACTTAAGAAATTAGTTGTTAAGGGAATTGAGGATACAGTGGCCAAAAATACTCCTGTCTCAGAGTGGGGTATGTGCCACAGCTGTTCTCTGGCTGGGATCCCTTCTCTGTAGGTTTGGGACAGGTAACCTAGGGAAGACGGGCCGAGAGGGAGGGAGCACTGTCACTTAATGTCTTGGTCTTTGCAAACAAGTAATGGTGGCTGATGCTGTGCCTGTGCAGCAGTGACTGCAAATGCCATTTGCCTGTGGGTTTAATGGAAAACACCAACGGGGCAACCCTGGAGAGCTCAGTCTGTGACCCACAACCGGCACAAGCAGGGGAAAGCAGTCTATACCCTGCTCCCCCCGGCTCGAGGGGACGTGAGCTCCAGGGTGTATTTAGCATCTGACCTCTTCTGTACGCTTGTCAGCATGAGGGCTGGTTAATGTTGGCTTTGGACAGATCGAGAGCTGCAATTTCGTGTAGGTCTCTTAAACGCCTGTCAGTTATTAACAGCTCGGAACCTCTGCCTGCCTCGACTGGGCTGAACTAATAATATAATGTCTGTTTACCAATTTTCTGGACCAGTTAGTTATTGGAGGTGGACATTTAGGTGAAATAATTCACAGTTTGTTTTGCATTAATCCAGCCTGGTACCCAGAGTAGGTTATTGTCTGTGCAGAGGGCAGCCACCTTGGACACTGAGGGTTTGCTGATGCGGATCTAATTGCAGGACTGAAGAACAGAGCTAGCAGAAAGTCTCAGTGACCTGCGGTGACTCCAGTTTTCCCAAGCTCATTGTGGTGATGCTCCAAATTCCCAGACATTATTGGGATGGTCTGTACTGCGTGCACAGCAAGCTTCTTTCCTGAAGGGAATCCAGTCACTTAAACTTCCAGGCAGCAATCCCAAATCTGTATTGCTCACAAAAATGCCTTTTTTAGACTGGAGCTTTACCAAGTACATCTGGTGATGCATTTATTTACACTGTATGAAACTGAACTGAAGTAGGTTTGTCCCTCACACACAAATGAGGTGAAACGAAACAGCGAATCGTTGCCTCATTCGCACTGAGGAACTCGGAGCTTCACGGGTAGAATATAGTGGCACGTTACAAAAAAGACAAGCATAATTTATATGATATAGAGATATATTTTTAAAAGTCCTTTCCTTTATTGAATAGTTTATTGAAACCAATGTGTTTCTAGGCCCATTCCCCCTCACCACTGCTGCTGCCTGCTGCGTCTTAGCCTCTCCTGCCCTTCAGACAGCAGAACTAAGCGGATGAGGTTCCCTCTTTGGTCTGTCGCAACAGGATACCCAAGTTTGCAGTGATGCTGACGTCCCCCAGCTCATGAGTAGTGGACCTGGAGTATTTTGGTCACTTTTTCAGCGCTGAGCTCGGGGCCAGGCGATGCTGCATGTTACTGCTGTGTATGTGGGCTGCAGCCTGTGTGGAAGGCTCCACCGCAGCGCAAGTTTCTTCGGCTGCCAGGGCGTTACAGCATTAGGGTGGCTGCAGCGTCAGAGTACGCTGCAAGCACCGCTATCGGCGTGAAGGCGATTTGTACATCGGTCCTTTGCTGTGCTGGCACAGGGGCCTCTCGCTGGCACGGGGACTGGCCCTGGGACGCGATGTGGCCCTGAGCCTAGGCACCCGCGGCACGTGGACCTGCTCTGGGAACCAGGGCTCCCCGTGGGGCAGGGCTGCTCACCTGCCCCAGAGGTGTCACTTGTTCCTGGCGCTGGGAGCAGGCAGGGATTTCTTTCCATGGTTTTGGAGTTCCTTTCACCTGGTTCGGTGGGGGCCTCAGCCCCAGGTAACTCCCCTCCCCGTCGGCGTAGGGATGTGACCCACCCACCATTCTGCCTTTAAGTGACAGAGGAGGACTTGGGCCAAGCAGGGACGGAGCTGAAATTACCGGACCTGAATGACGAATGTCTCATTCTGAAGGGCTGGTGATTCTGCAGCATCCCACATGGAGACTGGAACATCTGTGTGGAGCATTCAGCTAGTTTTGCCAATTTTTGTTACTTTATATGAAAACGCAACTTTTTTAAATGAGCCTTTTCTTAAAATCCCCTTGATCTGCTGTGTAGTGCCTGAGCCTGGCTGTTTAACATCAGTACTCCCATAATTTGTCTGCAGTGACTCATAATTCAGGTCAGTAACAGCAATGCCCCAAACATAAGGCAAAAATTGGCTTAATTGCCCTTCTTCTGCAGTTCCAGTATTAATGGCAGCAGTTCAAGTGAGATTAAACTGATCTTTTTGCATTATAAAAAACCTGCATTAAACCATTGCTTTCTCTTTTGCCATTACTTTTGCAAAATAGTAACTTCTTCATTGTTTTTTATTATTTTCTCTGCACTTGAATGCTAACATATTTGATTATCTTTAAAAAGTTTGGGCATGTCAGAAGCCCACTTTCACTGAGGAAGGGCAGTACCTCTGCTCTCAAAGTTTACTATTGCGTGCATTTCTGGTTTTTTGTTTGTTTGGTTGGTTTTTTTTAAGCTAACGATGAAATGTATTTATTTCAGTTCAAGTCGTGTTTAGAACTGGCTAATCTCTCCCTCCAATGGATTATTTATTAAACTGCTGCTTTCCTGTTGTGTTGACGTTCTCTGTCCTCATCCTTCTCCCCGGCCTGTGTTACAAGACAGCTTTCCGAGCCTGCCCTGTGCTTCTGCCCAGCACGCCTCGACCCTCCTAAGTCGTGCTGAAGAGGTTGTTACAAGAGACTGTGCGTCAGGCCTTGTAAAGCGACCTCCTGTCTCGAATGGGCACAAGCTGTTGAATTACTTCCACCAATTCCTTAAACCTAAAGTATTCTAGAGCAAGAAGTACTTGGAACCAATTCACATTCACCCTTGATTCTAAAATAGCTATCCAGGTTTCCACCGGAGTATTAAAATAGCAGTACCTTAACAGGTTTATCTTCTCCAGTGCTCAAGCATAAAATATTTTGAGCCCTGACCCTGCTGCTCATCATCCTGGATGGGGGCCAAGTGCTTGTCCAAGAGGAAGCAGGTTTTGGGCAGTTTGGTTAGGACAACGTTTACAATACCGGGCCGAGCAGCAAAACGCTCCGGAGGAGCGATGCGGTCCGCTGTGTGTAGCGGGCCAGTGCCGCAGCGCCGTAGCTGTCGCCCTCGGCGGGTGAAGACTTGCCGGCGGGTCTGTGTGAGCTGGGCCAGGGCTGCCGGGCCCCGGCCCCATCCCCACCCCAGACGCAGGGCAAGTCCCTGGCTCCCACCTTCCCACGCCAGCACCTGCCCCACTGGAGCCTGCTCCCAGGGCTGGTTTTCAGCATCCCAGACTCCATTGTCTTCGTTTCCATCCAGGCTTAATTTAGATCTTATCTTACTCATTTAAACACTTCTTTTGGTGTTTGAGGGTGGTGCTGAGTGAACAAAATAATCGCAAGAACTATGAACACATCCAAGTCAGCTCTTGGATAGGATCTGGAGTTTGATGGCCCGTATCCTGTAATGAGCCGGAAACACAAGCCATCTATTATACAATATATTGCCTTTTCTCTTTATTTCCTCTGGGCTTGAGCTTAGTTTTTAGTTTTGGGGGTTTTGTTTCATCTTTATTTGGGAAAGAACCCTCAGCTTGTCTCACTGTGCATCACTGGAGAAAAAGGGAAGGTATTTCAGTACAGTATGTTGTTGGCTGTCCTCTCCTCGGCATGGTGGTCATTCGGGTGGCGTGCGCAGCCCGACGTCGCTGCGATGGGGACGCCAAGGCCGCGTTGCTGAGCGAGGGCAGAGCCAGTCTGCGGGAGGAGCCTCCCTGCGGTGGGGTTCCCGTGTTTTGCACCATGCAGAAAGCCTTCGACGTGTTCCAGTCGTCCTCATTAGCATCTACTCCAGCCCCGCTGCCTGTCATTTCTGGTATCGGGGTTGGCAAGTGCCGGTGGTGACAGCC